TGGTCTCTGGTTACCTGGTTTCTCTTGTAGTAGGCAGGCTTTAAAAAGAGCAGAATGTTTCCCAGTTGTTCCTTTCTCCCCTTCTTTACCAGAAGCATGAAGGAATTTTTCTCCAATATTTGCTGTGATAACTGGCTCATGCTCCTGGAAATGAAACTCAAAAAGTTGGGGGAGGAGAGGCATATGACTGAATTCCCTGGGTTTTCTTGTTTGCTTACTTACTTTTGTCTCAGTCTTCTCCACACTGACGCTTCAGGAACTGTCAGCTGTAATGCAGGTTATCCTACCTTGGTACTAGTTCTCACTGACTTCTATATTATGGGCTTCTGCCCCAGCAAGCTGTCATTCTTCCACACTCACCTACTGCTTTCTAGGTCGGAGCAGGGAGCAGTGGTTCTCCTGTGACTCTACCCCACTGAGATCTAAAAAGAGTTGTGGGCTTTTCTGCTTCCTAAGCTCTTTACAAGTTTTCTCTGCAGGTGCTTGGACTCTTTCCCTATATAATTTTATGAAAACATTTTTGAGGTGGAGTCTTCCTAAGTAGCCCAGGCAGGCATCAAACTCAGGATAGCCCTGCCTTTACTTCCCAAGTCCTGAAATTAGTTCTGGACCAGTACAGCTAGAACATTTGGACTTCCTGACTTCACCTAGGTGTGTGCATACTATAAAACATGTAACTATTGGCAGGAACATGCCCTCTCCCCATACCCTTTCTTATCTCTTTCCTTCCCTACACCCTCCAACCCTATCAACACCCCCACATCCCTACCAGTCCCTATCCTGGGTTCATAACTCTTGGGTCTGTTTTATGACCCATTTAGTTTTATTAAGGCCATCTGAAACATTTTTAAAAGCAGCTTTACTGAGTATCTACTTCATGCAACTTCTGTGTTGTGAATCATATACAAATGAATCATATACAAACCATATACTTAAGAACCTGGAAAGTGGAACCACTGCGCTTTCTCCAGTGACTAATGCTCACAGTCTATTCATAATTTCTCCTCTGACACTGATCCAGCTGTGGAAATTGCTTCCTTGGGGGAGCCTTCAATTGTTCATCCAATTAATATGTTTGTCTCATAGGTGGAATCTGGAATTTAATTTTGAAAGCAACTAAGAGCAAATCAAAGTCAAGTTGCCAAATAAGGCCTGTGTCCAAGGAGGCAATATAATTTTTTTTTAGTTTTTTTTTATTGAGCTCTTTTAATTTCATGTATTTCCCAATCAAATGCAGACCCCTCCCCTTCCATGGAGGCAGTATAAATTGTTAACATCATTATTTCTTTGGTGAGGCTACTGACATCCTCATGGTCATTTCAAAGGTCAATGCTGAAAGATAAGATGCTCCAGAAACTCTCTACTGACTATATTCACATTTTTTTCTGTTAATCTAATGAATCACAACATGATTTACTTTGCTCATTATCTACTTGTATTTAATACTAAAATTGCTGTTTTCACTGCCTGAGAAATAAAGGTCAAATTTAGAAAATTTTGTTACTATTCCCTTCAAGTTTATAGTATATAAACAGTATATTTGATATTTTAATTCTTCGTCTTATCTCTCTCTCTCTCTCTCTCTCTCTCTCTCTCTCTCTCTCTCTCTCTCCCTCATCATTTAAACTCAGTTCTGACCACCATGGACTGGGTTACTTTTTCTTTCAAGGCTCTTATCCTGTTTCTGGAATGTTGAAAATGAGAATATAGCATATAGCAGCATACTTGCCTTAAGATGAGAATTTATGACACCACAAAATCTTCACGCTAAAGCTGACTCTATGTTGTAACTGCTGGGCTGTGGTTTTCTGAGCCCCCCTGAAAAGATCCCTTAAGAGCAGTGACACTTCACAGAAACTTCTTCAGCTCACAGAATCCCATTTTGAAAATTGTGCTTCAGATCTGCACTGAAAACAAGACAGTTTTCCCTGCCCTGGCACGGCTCCAGGTATCTGAAATGTTACAGAACGATGTGTCTGCTGAAGCATTACACAGTCACCAACAAGTAGAGCTGCGTCCTTTCCACTGCTGCTGCTTCAGAGAGATGAGGCAGAAGGGGACAGCCCTCCATAACCAGATACGTGCTTGGGTGACAGGAAGGAGAGAGAAGAGGAATGAGTACCTGAAGGTGTCATTCAACATAGTCATCCTGCATCCTGGAAAAGGTGGAATGGGGTATTTGCAGGACTTTTTTTTCAACCCCTCTTTCTGGAGTACCTTGTAGAATAGCTAATAACTGGGTTAAATGCAATTGAATCATTGGTCCTTAAAAGTCACATCACCTCTGAGATATTTGCCATCCTAGGAGCAGAAAAATAGAAAGGTTTTGGTCTTGACCTGAGAATCAGAAATCTCAGAATTAATTGCTTTACAATGCATCCCCTTCCCTGTTTGGGGGTCTAATTTCTGGACAGCCTCTTCCCAGAACATAACTGCAAAATCTACCAGTCTTCATACAGATTTAAAAAGCCATGACAGTAAAAGGATTCCTTATCAGCCATTGCCACCGTTCAAATTTAAAGAAATGAAGACAAAAGCATATGACTTCAGCTTCCGGGGTAGATAGAAGTGGTAGGAAGAGACAATTGCTGATTTGAGGTCTGCAAACAAGCTCAACCTAGTGGCACCTCACTCATATAATCGGCCAGTTGGCACATACTCATGGACCATGAGCTGTGGTCAGAATATCTTATAGATCCTGGGCCCTAAGCACTTCTTCCAGGGGCATCTGTTTTTTCTCTCTTGTTACATTTGAAAAGCCATTGAGAAAAATTAAGTCTCACCAACAAACTCATAGAAGGCATAAACCATTCCAACAGAAACACACTAGGTCTCAGAGAGCTGCCAGGGAGGAATCATGCCTACAGATGCTAGAGAACCTTATTTACCACTTCCTGGACTGAATACTTAGATGTCCTGTGCCTCAGTTTTCCCCATTTATAGATTAGGAATCTAAAGTAGGTTATCATTAGGCCCCTGGCAAGACTTAGGCTTCTACGTTTCCAAAATCCTAGAGCTCCTTACCACGCTCAGCACTCTGAAATCAGGAAGGTATCTGTGATACTATTTCACAAATAATCCTCTGCCTCCTGCCCCTAGAAATGTATTTAAAGCTTGGGGAGTAAATGCCAAGATTTAGTAAGGAGACTATTTTACATAGGGCCTTTTCTTTGCACATGTTTGCCGGATATTGCATTGCAAGTCTCTTCCTTTACAAAGCCTGGGCAACAGAGATTAATTTCCTTTAAGTAAAGACAGAAGCCCTCTTTTGCGTTTTGCAAAAAAAAAAAAATGTTAAGAAAGAGAAAATAGACGTTTTCAGGACCCTGGTGGAAAGATTATAAAAAAATAGGAGGGCAACTATTGGTCTGAAAGAGGACAAAGGGACTTGGTCAACACCAGCTCTCTGCTTTCCTGGCCCAGGCACAACAAAGCTGCTCCAGCCAGAAGAATCATGGGGTGCACTCGTGTATCCACATACCCGGTATCCCTGGGCACTCCGGGTGCAATGTCCATAGCCTGCACACTGAGACCTGCAGACTAGCTGCTCTAGTCCACTGAGCGCACAACCTTCGCAGGCAAGCGCTGCCCTCTAGCGACCAAAGTGGGGGATGCCTTGCAGGCCGAGCCTCACAGGAGCTGTGTTGCAAGCAGGTGCCACAACAGTGAAAAGGTAGCTGATCCCTTAACAGAAAGCTAACGTTGCTCGGAAAACCGTGAAACTTCTTTATAGTCTCTAGAACTGTTTTTGAAACCCCCTCCTCCAGGACCAGAAAGACAGACATAGACAAGGATGGGTAGATAGAGTAAAAGGCAGCTGTGAGGTAAACTAATAATGGACAGATGGAAAGGAGATGGATGGTGGGTAGTTAAAAACAGCATTGGACGGCTTGCTGGAGGCCAGATAGAAGGTTACATGATTATGTCCACTATTCCAGCTGATTTTGTACTGAACACTGTGCTTCCTCTCCTGTAAGCTATGACATAATATCATATTACCGCTGCTGTATTTTTCCAAATAGGAAAAAGTGAGGCGTTAGAGGATGTAAGACCTACGCAGCTTCGTGATGGTGACTGAGGATCATCTGCAGACCCAGGAAATGGGGGAGCGAACTACGTCGAAAGCCCTAGCCCCCACTTTCTGCTTCCAGGTCCCTCCCAGTGGACAGGATGTGCCGCCCACTTGTCCCAAGCCCTGGCATCCAAGGTTTCACGATCTTCATTGTTCTTTCCACACCACACTCCTCCTGGGCACTGCCTCTTACTCATCAAACAGCCCCCCAAACACCCTGGGCAGTGTGCTAGAGACCACGAGTCCTGTATTGGGGAGCGCACCCAGGAGTTTGAAACTGGTTCTTCCTTGCAGTGCCTGAAGGGAGTCGGGTCCTGGGAGGAACTGCTTTCTAGAACCTGAGGTTTTTTTAAGGACTTGAAGTGCTTATTTCGGTGCCCAGAGAATCTCCCTAATGGGAAAGGAGAAAGTTTAAGATTCCTGAAAGTTTCTCTCATCTCCACAACTGTTAACTGAGTACCCACTGTGCTCTTGACACAGTCACACACTACAGTGAAGAAGTCAGAGAGAAGTGGAGGGCAGATAGGTAAATAGATACCTTTCTGGATAACTGACCTTCATGCCTCCAGGGCGCCTTGAAAGGAAGTGAGGAAGGGGCAGGTTGACCGAATCCAGGGTTTCCAACTTATCACAGATATCCAAGTCCATCTGCCCTTTCAAATGCCCCCAAGAGCAACTAAAGTGATTTATGCAGGGAAACCAGATCGCTCTCCTCTCTCTACCCAAACTTCCCAACTGCCTGACTTGGTCTCTTTGCGGGTGGGTCGAGCCTCCCGGCGCCCACTCTCGGCTGCCACCCCCAGTGGTGCTCGTGCTATGGGGACGTCCCCTCCCGCGAGGCGTCGGCGCCCGCTGGCGTAGGGCCTGCGTCAGCTGCAGCCCGCCGGCGATTGGGGCGCTCGCGCCTCCTTCGGTTTGGGGCTAATTATAAAGTGCCTCTGGCCGCTGCCAGCCTTGGGACAGTGAGCAGGAGCTCCGATCCCCGCAACCCGCCCGCGGAGACACCGAGGACGGCGACGGTGAGGTCCCCGTCTGCCTGCGCGCCCTGCCGCTGCTCCCCGACGACAGTCTCACCCTTGCCTTCTCTTCGTTTCAGTGTCGTGCCTGGGACCCGGCTTCTCCAAGCAGCCTGCTCCATCGGAACAGCGTGAGTGCCCTTGCCCCATCTCCCAGGTGCTGAGCGTGCTTGGGGACCGTCTCCAGCTCTCCCGCTGCATGCGCTTGCCCAACTTTCTCGCGGTTCCTCCCTGGGGTGGGGGGTCCAGGTCCTGCCTCCCCCAAGCGCCCGCTCCGGAGCTGTCGTCTCCTGCTTTGTCTCCAGAATCTAGCCCTGGGCAGCCGTCACTCTAGAAGTCGGCTGGAAGCACTAGGGCTGCCCGGATTGAAGGCGACAATGCCAGAGCCGCAGAGCCCAGCGCACGGACAGCGCTGTCCCTGAAAGCTGTCCGGGGCGTGAGCTCTTGCTCAACGACCTCCCAGCTGGCGTGTCCCAGCATGGAGTCCTTCCTAGGGAGCCCGGGCGGGTACCCAAGCGTATGCTCTTCTCTCCTGCAGCCCATGGCAAGGTTCCTGAGACTTTGCACCTGGCTGCTGATGCTTGGCCCCGGCCTCCTGGCTAAGGTGCAGGCGGAATGCAGCCAGGACTGTGCGACTTGCAGCTACCGTCTAGTGCGCCCCGGTGACATCAACTTCCTGGTGAGTGTTAAGAGGTGAGGGAGTCTGAGCAACAGAACTCGGTTCGCACAGCCTCGCGGCACATCTAGCAGTCACTGGTGCTCAAAGATGCCGAGGCACCAGCCTTTGGTGACCCGGTCTCCCGTAGTTTTCAAAATGTTGATCCAGGTCCAATCTGACTCCCAGTTTCAGGACTAGTCGAGACTATCTGGGCCCCTTATGACAGAAGTATCTATCTCCACACAAACTAAATTTATTTTAAACCTAAGGCAGGAACCCCAAATGTGCTGTCTTCAGTACCTCGGATAGCACTGGCTTGCCTCCTAGGTTGTAGGAAGATGCTCAGTCACCCCAAGTTTAACACCCCAGCCGAGGGCCCATCAAACACCCTTTCTGCAAAGAATCTAACTTTTGTTAAAGGGGGGGTCGGTCGTCTCCCCCAGGCCCCGGAATTTCTCCTCTTGGGAACCATGAGTCTTCTCTATATGGGAAAATGATAGCAGGAGAGAATAGGGAAATCCCAGAAGAAAGAGCTCAGTCACGGTCCCACAAGCTCATGAAGGCAGATTTAATTTGTTTGTGGGAAAGGGCACGGGAAAGGTGGCCAGTGTCCAGAGAGGTGGTATCCATACAAAGCCTGCACTGCCGGGGGATGAGGGGAGCGCACAGAAGACAAAATGGCTGCTCTTTAACCTGAGTCATGGGCTTTCCAGTCACCTCTGGGGCTCCACTCAGTTTGAATCTGTGGATTTGAGACTCCAAAAGATTTGTTTTAGCTAGGTCTCTTACTGATTGTTTGCCCTGCCTTTGAAATTCTTTAACAGCTCAAGGGAGAGGGATGTGATAAATCCAAGCTGGCTTAGGTTCCACTTAAGCCTTTGAAGAAATTTGACGTTATGATTCTTGGAACAGAGAAAATACACTAAGGAAGGGACTCCAAAATTCCAAGCTATACATTTCTGGTTAAATGCGTGTTTGCTTCATTTGAATTTTTTATTACCTGGTCTATTGCAATTGGCATGTACTAACTTGACCTTAAACAGAATCCACACAGTGCTGGGTATTTAAATTATGAGGAAAATGTTCCGTCTGGAATAGAAGTAAGGGCCTCACTCAGCTTTCTCACTTTTCCTGTACTCATGAACTTTTAAGCTTTCCCTAAAAATTGAGTGAATGCAATAAGAATTCATTGTGAGCAATGAATTTTTTACACAGGAGGTTTGAAAAACACACCATGATGAAGATCACTACCTGAAACAGAATCGCAAGTATTCTGAGTTCTGCCCCCACTTAACATGCACAGAGTTGAACACTTAGCCTAATTTTTTCTGCCATCTACATAAGAGTTAGAAGAGTTTTTAATCCTATAATCAGACCTCAAAGAAATAATAGATTTACTTACATCATATGATTCTGTAAATCAATATAACTGACGTTTAATAATGCCTGTTTGTTTTTTTTATTTGATCTCTTCACCAAGCTCCCAAAATACTACTAATCTTCCTTTTCCATTGTTGAGGAACCTGAGCAGAACTCCTTGTGTGACAGACAGCCCCCGCACAGTGTCATAATTTCTGACTTCTCTCCTTTTTCCCAACTGCCACTCATCATTTATCAAGGGGAGGGCGAGGGTTGCTCTCTCCACACTTTCCTTGCTGCATTTTATGCTCACGTATTTTTCTGTTCTTATTTTTGGTCCAGATGATAGCATGGCACTGTGGTATGTACAAGTTGGAAAAAATACGCCACTCTGCAGTTTCTTGAGGGTTGCTCTCTCTACACTTTCCTTGCTGCATTTTACGCTCACGTATTTTTCTGTTCTTATTTTTGGTCCAGATGATAGCGTGGCACTGTGGTATGTACAAGTTGGAAAAAATACGCCACTCTGCAGTTTCTTTAAAAAAATCTCTTAAGAAGGCATTTTTAATGCATGACTGATCTGCTTTGTGTTACATTTAAGGATGTTATTTTCTTGGTGGCAGAGGCTTAATGAATACCCATGTTGTTACAATTCACAGCAGTTCTGGAATTTTAGCTAGGATTCATGGACAAAATAAGGTTGTCCAGTCAAAGGTATGCAGTAGTGTCATGGGTACAGAGATGAGACGATGTGCCTTGACTATCCAGAATTTGCCATTCAATGAGTTCTTGGCCACAGAACACAGTATGTGATCAACACCACGAAAGGTACATGAATGACTACGGGAGCTGTCATTTAACATCTTTGCTTTAGTGTGATTCTGTTATTCTGATGATTTCTTACCATTTGTTTCTGAAGGGTCCCCAAAACACATGCATTTAAAAGCCTTTTGGTACAGAAAGAAAAATATTCAACATTAATTTTTGGCAACAAAATCATACAAATATCATTTTAGAACTGAAGTATTTTACCATTTAAACATCATAAGCTTTTAATCATGTTTTGAGTCTTTAATCAGACATTATCAAGAATAAAACAGAATCATTTAAATTAGATGCTCTTTAGATTTTTACTTACTCATATATATTTAATTTTCTAGACATGAAACTTAAATAATCATTAAGAGCTAATTAACTGTTTCCTAGAGATTTTGTTGCATGAATAAAATCCTTTCATTGTGAAAATATGTGCACATTTAATATCAACATATAAATTTGTCTTTTTAATGTCAAAAAAAGAGATAGCTTTTCTGTCTAAATCAAGGGACTGTGACCTGGATTCCATAAGGAGATTTTAGAAGGCTGTAAAAAAAAAAAAAAAAACCTAAAAGGCTAAGGAATATCATGGAATTTTATATGTGTTACATAATATTAGTGTTCTTTTTATATTATGCAAGAATTTGAATAAGTTCATTTAGAATGTATAGCCTGGGTCTTATCATGGTTTAAATTCAACTACTGTATAATGAGAAGGAAATAATTATACATTGATCATTCCTACTTTGTTAAAGAATATGACTCTATTGGATAAAGACTTGTTCCTTATGCCAGTGGCTAAATGTTAAGAAAATAATATGAATAATTTGTGTATTTACATCCATGTAATTTCCAGCATTTGGTTCAAGATAATGAAATCTGTTTTAATCAACCAAGAAAATAAAGGAAAGAAAAAAAATCTCTACTTCTAGGAAATCATTATATCAGAATCCAAACAATTCATAACATTTAAACTTACTGTTTTGAATGTCTTTTTTGACTCATTTTGAATTGCCCCTTTTTTCTATAAAGGTTGAAAGTATTTGCAAGGATAGAGTACTGTAGCAAGATGGTACCACAAGTAAGCAAATGAATCTTACTAATATTGACTTTCTTTCTAAGACAAGAAAATGAAGGAAATTTTAAGCAAATGTCCCTAATTAGATAAACAGAAATATCTCCCTTTTTGTTAGAAAGATTTCAAATAAAATGGCATCTTCAGGGTACAATGAGGGAGTGAAATGGGATTGTAAAGGCAGCCAATTGTGTGAAATTGAGGAGCTAGCTCTTAAAATACTGAAATGGCACTGCATATGCACCAGTATTTCTCACGACTCTGTTAGCCACCCAGCCCCTTCCTTTGCCAGTTCTCCTTGGCTGCATTTGCATGTTCAGTTCCAGGGAAGGCTGTGATGAGATAGCGGAGAGAGCCTTATGACCGATGTGGCTATGTATGTTCCAAAGCAGACAGCTGTAGTCCACCACTGGCTTATGTAGACTCCCTGAGTAGCCTCTTCGATCATTAATCTCCTTGTCTTCCCAGGCTTGCACGCTGGAATGTGAAGGGCAACTGCCTTCTCTCAAAATCTGGGAGACCTGCAAGGATCTCCTGCAGGTGTCCAAGCCGGAGCTTCCTTGGGATAGCATCCACACACTCAGAGACGGAGGCAAACAGGAGGAGGGCCACTTGCTAGCCAAGAAGTATGGAGGGTTCATGAAAAGGTATGGAGGCTTCATGAAGAAGATGGATGAGCTTTATCCTGCAGAGCCAGAAGAAGAAGCTAACGGAGGTGAGGTCCTTGCCAAGAGGTACGGGGGCTTCATGAAGAAGGATGCCGACGAAGGGGACACCCTGGCCAACTCTTCCGACCTGCTGAAAGAGCTGCTGGGAACAGGCGACAACCTCGCGAGAGAGGGTCACCACCAGGAAAGCAGTGACAACGATGAAGACATGAGCAAGAGGTATGGGGGCTTCATGAGAGGCCTCAAGAGAACCCCCCAGTTGGAAGATGAAGCCAAAGAGCTGCAGAAGCGCTATGGGGGCTTCATGAGAAGGGTGGGCCGCCCAGAGTGGTGGATGGACTACCAGAAGCGATATGGAGGCTTCCTAAAGCGCTTTGCTGAGTCTCTACCCTCAGACGAAGAAGGTGAAAGTTATTCCAAAGAAGTTCCTGAGATAGAAAAAAGATATGGGGGGTTCATGCGATTTTAATACCTTTTCCCTGCAGTGACCCCAGGTCCCCACCAGCCTCCTCTATCCCCAGTAAGCAATTGCCTCATCACTCATGTTTGTTGTCATGTGCTGCTTGTGTTGTACGGTGGTTCTCATGGTCTGGATAGCTACACTGCCTGAAAGCTGTGACTTGGGGTCTATGTTCTTTCCAGTCTTGAAGCTCAGTATTGGTCTATTGCAGCTCTCTCATCATCATGCTGAAATCAGATTTGTTACCTCATCCCTTATTTTTGACAAACTGTCAGTAAATGCTTAATTGTATATAGATATAATAAACCCATTTTCCCAACTGCACAGTGTTCTTGTAAGAACTAGCTATCATTCATCTTTGAGTTTTCACAGTAAATATTATCCTCATAGAGAACACAACCACCCACTAGGACAGAATAACCAATGGTCTTGTCTCTCCTGACGGAGGCTGCAAGAACATTTTTATTGAATTCTTTATGTGTCTCCAATCTTAGGGAGGTAAACTCATTGAAACAAAATAAGATGCAAAGACAATTTACTCCTGTTTTATACATAAAATAGGAGAAGCCCAGCAGGGTTAAATACTTGGTTCAGGTTTTCTCAGGAGTTGAAACAGAAGTGGGATTAAAATTCCAAACATCTTGCACCTAGTCAATATTCTTTCCACACCATTCCCTTGTCTTCTACCAAGGACACAAGCAATGACTGGAAAACTTGGAACTGTACCTTGTTCATCATTATACACCCTAATTGATGGCATAGTAGATTCTCTAACAGCTTATGAATGCATGAATGAATGAATAAATAAATAAAATGGATGAATGAGTTAATTTGACAACCAAGTAATCGGGAATGTTGTTATGGCTGTTTTGTAATACAGACTCTCAAAACACAAGATGCTTATAAATACTTCATGTTAATAAAAGCATTTGAGGCAGCATGCAGATAGAAGAAACATAATTTCAACTTTTCTAATTGGAACTACTATACACAGCCCCAGCCTTCCACTAATTCATTTTCCCAGAACTCCACTAACCTTTGCCCTTGTATCCTTCAGGAAACAGGTTTAGCTTTTCGAGACAGTAGAGGTTGAGCTTCTGGTCTGCAGTTTTCCAGAGTTTCCACACAGTGCTTCCTATCCAAGCCTGTCTGGTCCTCCTGACTAGGTAACCCCACTGACTCTGGCAGCCCATGCCACAAGTCCAGCCCTACCAAGGTTCCAGAAACAGTCACATGAGTAGATCCCACTTCTCATCAGCTCAGGGTATCACAGTCACAGCCTCATGGACTGCTGCCCCCACAGACACTTCTGATCCTGATCTTAACTCTCTCTTCCAAGACAAGCCATGATAAACTCTTCCTTTTGATGAAGAAACAAGTTATAAGAAAGCAGGTGGGAAACAGTAGCTGGCCCTGAAAATCTACATCAGAAACAAAGACATGGTTGGGGTACACTGCAGGTACCAGGTGTCACAGCAGTGGTCAGTTGCCTCCCTTGGAAATGCTAACTCAGTACTAGCAGGTGTTTCCAAAGAAACATGAAACTTAGATTTTTAAAAACAATACCTCATTTTTCTTATTGCTGGCAATTTGTCTCATTTAAGGCAGTGAGAGTACTGCGTATGGTGTCAAATACCTATAATCCCAGCTGTCGGAGGCTGAGACAGATACATCAGAAGTTCATAGGCAGCTTGGAACACAGGCCAGTCTGAGATACAAAGCTATAGCATAAGATCTGTCTCTAAGGAAAAAAACTGCAGTGTGAGTTGAAACAAGAAACATTGAGTCAAAACACATCTTTAGATTTAAGAGATATGGGAGCTAATATTTTGAAGAAAATTGAGTCACTGGATTCCCTCCTCTGGAGCAAAGCATTTTGACCCTTGGAAGCAGGGGTCCAACCTACACTATCTGGAGCTGCAGAGACAATGCCCTCTGCTTCCTGACAATACAGTTATCCTGTGGGAGTATAATATGTATGCATGCATAGTCTATAGGAGGATATGTCTAAGAACAAGCACAGGGTGAGATCTGACAGATGACTTTGCAGAGCAAACATAGCTCTTCACCTGAAAGCTCTTTTGGTGGGCACCATATAAACGAGGCTAAAACAGAGTGATAGGCAGCTGTCAGCCACTCCATTTCAGCACCTGTCACCTGTGTCAAGGGCCACACAGTGTCTGATTTGGAACAGTGCCATACTGCCATCCTTCTTCATCCGCCTCACAATATAGTGCAGAACAGGAACTCAGAGAGTGCCTATAGAGCTGCTCAGGGGAGGAATTAACAGGAGAGGCACTGGGAAGTCAGAAAACCAGAAAAAAATAATAATAAAGCTCTTAGAGGAGATGGCTTCTTCTCACATCTACATTACAGGGCTCTGATCCCCAGTTGGAATATCCCATGATGTACCATCCTTGGCCCAGGACTGTTCCTGAGCATGCATGGGTACCCACAAAGGTGACTCAAGGATGCTCAGTCTCCAGAAATCTCCTAGGATACCCAGCCTTCAACCTGAAGTTCCATCAATAGGATTTTGCTTTGTTAACTCTTAAAAGCTTCAGTGTTTTCAAGAATGCTCTATTTAAATTCTGAGGTGCAGTTGCCGAAGGTCACCTTGGACACTACTGTCAGTGCAAATACCTGGGATCTGGTGTGTGTCGGGGGCGGTGGGTGTGTTTAGCAATAAGGACAAGAGCTAAGGTTAGGACTATTCTACCACTATGATTTAAAATGAACCCAAAGCCTCTCTGGGCTTAACAAGGTCTGAGAGAAAACTGGCTCAAGATGAACTAAGGTCCTATGACCTGCGGAGGGCACTGATGCTCCATTCTGTTCCTCTCCCTGCTGCTTGGTAACCTTCTTCCTTCATTCCCACTCGCCTTGGCTTCTCCAGCCCCATCTGGGAGCCTGAGGCTGCTCTGGGTTCTGTCTGAGAGTTAATAACATGTGAGCTCTGGGACTAGCCTGCCTTCCTGGAAATCCCAGCCCAATGCATGAAGCTCTCCATGCCTCATTTGTTCCCTTGAGCTTCATTAGGTTGTAATTAGCACACAGTCAGTTTTAACAAAATCCTTAAGCCAGGGCTAGCACACCATCAGACTGAAAGGGCTAGCTGCTGCTATTGCTCAGCTTCCCAATTTCTTCCCAATTTCTTGGACTCTCTACTACCTATCCACGTCACCCTGACTCTTTCAGGCATGGGCTGTATCTGAGCTTCAGCTAGGGGATCTTTTTCTGAAAGTTGTATCCTACAAGACAGAAGTTGTTTGTAGAGTTCTTCAGCTCACATCTCCTATATCTCCACGTTTACTATAAACCTTACAGCCACAGAATCAGCTACTCACGTCTCTATATTTGTCTAAACCAAAGAAGGAACAGGGCCACAAGTGAGCCTCTGTAAACCGTGAGTTCTGGGCAGCTGGTGCTGCTGTTGGCTGCTTGATTATAAAAAATAGGTCACTTGGGTCGGGGGTGCTGATAGGAAGAATAGAAGTGGTGTGTAGGGACAGGGGATATAAGGGATATCTCTGCACCTTCCACTTTGTTTTACTATGAACCTAAAACTGCTCTTTAAAAAGTCCTTTATCGAGCCAGGCGTGGTGGCGCATGCCTTTAATCCCAGCACTTGGGAGGCAGAGGCATGCGGATCTCTGTGAGTTCAAGGCCAGCCTGGTCTAATAGTGAGTTCCAGCTGGGGTTGACAGGGAGACCCTGTCTCAAAAAGACCAAAATGAAAAAGTCCTTTATCCCAAAATGAACAACATGCAGAGTCTGAGTCTTGTGCTTAAACAGGCTACTTAGGAAGAGATGGGAGAGGGCTCTATGCCTTGAATATTTACATTTGCCATTTTTCCCTGAAATGTACATAGCACCCTCACAAATCAAGTTACTCATTCATTCAACAAATGAACAAAGCCCAGTAAACAGTTATCTGGTGAAAGAGAGTTCTGAACAAGAAGAGGCAGTATAATGGCCAGAGCCTGGAACAAAGTGGTGATGATCGGTGCTTAGGTACCTTTTAGCACACCATGCCGAGTAATTCTTTATTCTATACATATTGCCTTATGTAATGAAGTTGTAGCATTTCATAACTGAATCTCTTAAGTTATACATCTCTCAAATTACAAGTTTCCTTAAAATTTTTAGAATTCAATTTTCTTTAAGCTTCAAGAGTCATACAATTGTAGTCTACACGGGAAGCTATTACAAATAGGAATTAATCTAAATGTCTCCTGGTGGCAAATGATAACTTTAAAGTAAAATCTTCCTTTGTACAATAAAGCACCATAAAGAAAGCATTAGATGTGTAGAATATATCCCATGGAAACTCTTCTGTGCACAAGGAATCTCATGAAACAAGTGAGCAGGCTGGAGAGTTGGCTCAGTGGACAAGGTGCTTCCTACACAGGTGTGAGGACCTAAGTTTGGATTCCTAGCACCTATTTAAAAGCCAGTTATGGCTGCACACACCTGTAATCCCAGGCTGGGGAAGCAGATACCAGAGGATTCCTGGCACTTGCTGACAAGTCTGTCTAGAAGAATCAGAGAACTCAAGGCTTAACAAGAGGCACTGTCTCAAAAAATAAGAAGAGTGAGGAAGATACCTATAATGGTTAGTATTGTCAGTCTGACAAAATCTAAAATCATCTGGGAGATAGGCTTCTGAGCATGCCTGTGGGGCATTATCTTGGTTGCAGTCATTGGGAAAGACCCACCACTGAAGGCAGCACTGACCCTGAGTGAGATATGGAGAAACAGAGCTGAGCGGCAGCAGGACTTTACTGTCCTCTGCTTCTTAATTTGTTATTTATTTATTATTTTATGCATGTGAGTGTCTTGAGGGCATGTATGTAAGTGTGCTTGTGCATGCAGTGCCCACAGAGGCCAGAAGAATGTGTCAGATCCCCTGACAGTGGAGTTAGGGTCCGTTGTTAGCTGCCCATGTAGGTGCTGGGAACTGAACCTGGGTCCTCCTCAAGAACAGTCAGTGCTCTTAACCACTGGGCATCTCTTCAATCCAGTTCTCTGCTTTAAGCTCCTGCCATCTCAACTTTCCCACCATGCTGGACTGTGTCCTTGAACTGTGAGCCAGAATACCATTTCTATGCTGTACTGTGTCCTTGAACTGTGAGCCAGATAACCATTTCCATGCTGGACTGTGTCCTTGAACTGTGAGCCAGAATACCATTTCCATGCTGGACTGTGTCCTTGAACTGTGAGCCAGAATACCATTCCCATGCTGGACTGTGTCCTTGAACTGTGAGCCAGAATATAATTTCTTCCTTAAGTTGCCTTTGTCAGAGTATCACAGAAGCAAGAAA